TTCATTTTGTTTTGTTTGATAGTATTCTGTAGGTTGTGTTTGATTGAGTATCGTGCCAAAAAAGGATGTGAACTTCTGTCCGCCAGTTCCGCGATAGATTGAAGATAAAACTATAGACTACGAATAGTAACGACCATCTGTTATTTTCCTGCACATATGCTCATCCGGAAAAACTGTTTCATTCACCCATCTAGTCAAAGAGATAAGTGAACTTTTACGGAGGAACGCTGTGTTGATTGTGACCCTCTCGTGGAAATATTTGAAGGAGGGGGAGAGCACATGTGCCTCAGCATGTTCTACCTTCTCTGTGGTCACCATGAGACAAATCCACTTTTCAGAATTCCTGTCGGTTGCGAGGGCAGTGCCGATGGCTGAAAAGTGTAAATTATCCTTTGATGTCGGAAGTCCAGATGGTGAGACTGGGTGGCCAACTGGAAGCTAATAAATTCGTCTTTTACAACTGGCACCTGTTCAAGTAGGGGGAGTCCAGTTCTGTTCGATGAGTGGTGCGATTAGTAGTGCATGCATAAGCATAAAGACAAAAAGTTAACACTTTGATGTGAATGTTGGAAAATGATTCTTCCCCACAAAAGCAAAAGGGGCAACTCGTTCGAAAAACATAGAGGCAGCATTCAGTTGTTTACATTCGATCTGGTTTATTTTTTGCCCTAATTCCCATACACGTCACATTTCAATTAACAAAATAAAGTACTCTCTGTGTGAAGTAGTACATCACTTTTTGACAACGTCTGCTACCTTCATGGCTTATACAACTTCGTTCTTACATGTTGAAATCTGCTACAAAAATGGGATAATGGTTTTTTGAAAACAAAAGAACATGTGGTAGAAATTACCGCTTGCGATATGTTAAAATAAAATGCACTCTAGTTCACTCATTCTGAATGTCTTTTTCATTGTTGTCCCACAACATTACAGCATTTTTTACACGATAAAGATTAGTAAAACAATATCTTTACGACTGGAGTGACTAGTTAATTTGTATTCAGTGCTTAGACGAACTTTCACCAAGTCTTAATGTAGCGGGTACTGATCCAAACTAGAAATACCAGTTAGCTGCCCATAAATTATACTTTTCATAAGTGAGTTCCTAGGTGCGTAGTGTGTACACTGTATTTGTATGTATACATGCGTGAATGTCAAATGATCAACGCAATTGGTTGTATCAGCTGGTATGCATATCGGTAGTTCATCTTGGTGTTGCACTTGGAGAGGGGCATTACAGGTGATGAGCAAATGGGTTAGTTGTGGCGCTGCTTCGTCGCCAAGATGACGCAAAACGGAAGAAAATGAGGTGTCCGTTAAAAACAGATTCCTAATTATTCCTCTAATTTTAACTGTTCAGTTTTCCATGCCACTCAATTGTTCGAGTTGAACAATAATAAGTAATAATGGTTCAATAAAGTGAGATCTGAGATCTAGGTACTCGCAATGGCAATGTGATTCAGACTCTTCTGTGCGATACCGTTAACAGGTATCACACAGAAATGGACAGTATATCCTTCTGAAATTGTAAATTAGACACAAGAACTGACTGGCATGTGATATAACTGAAAGATAGCAGTACCCAAATACGCAACCCTTTAGAGGTGCTTTTGACTCGGGAAGGTGTTTTGATAACGTGAATATCACAGGGTTTTATATTTTACAAACCAAAGTCAGTGTTTAAAGTTAAAAACTTGTATGCAATTTACTGTGCTATGAGGTTCTAGAGATGAGAAATGATGAGTTCAAATATGGATGAAAGACCAGATACCAAAAGTCCTGTTTCTCATAACAACGGAAGATAGTTTATGATTCATTTTGGCACCTTCTCACTCCACGTAATTTCGCAGTTTAGAACTTCAGAAAACAAACGCAATTAATGATACACAGTTGATTGGTTATTGTAGCATATTCTGGTCGCGAAAACCACTTGGAATTCCTTTTTGACGACTCACTATCCGAAGGCTTCTCTGAAGCATATTCATTCATTCACGGCTATCACATCTAACATATACCCCCGACTGTCATTTTCCTTTTCCTCGAGGCACATCTTGGGCTGTATTCAGTTTGTTATCCTTGATATTCACTTCACATCGTATTGACTCTAGAACAGATCTATTGAAGCTTGTACCTTGGAGTAGCTGTGTGGATGGTTGAAAGCACACACACACAGACAAACAAGTCGACCGATACATTTTCACAATTGTTACCTTTGTGATAGTAAAACATGCTATTGTGCACTCCTAAATTGTCCGAAGTAGCTTCTTGTGATAGATCGACACGGTTTGGAGGTACACTTATGTGCTGAGCACTTTTGCCATTCTGGGACCGTCAACAAAGTTATTGGTTGGTTGTCTTCAGAAAAGAGAAGCCACTAATCTCTTTTTACTGGATCACTTGTCATGTGATTCATTCCGTGATACCAACAGTCTAGTCGTTCACCAAACTGTAACCAGAATTGGCCGAAGTTGACTGTTTTATCCCAGATGAAATTCGAACTGCTGCGATAGGACAGTGTCATGTTCACTCAGAAATTCGTTCGGATATTTCGAACCTTCCGGTTAATGAAGCCATGAATTTGTATGCAATACGGGCTACTTTTGACCGCGATAAGTTTGTCTGGTTTGTGATTTGAGTCCCGGCATAGATACAACAATGGCAAACGCTCCTCATGGGTCTCAACAAGGACGATACAGATGGACTTTTCCGTTGGTCGGCAGGACCGCTTCAACTACCACTGATGTGTTGCGTAGCCTCACTGAGAGAGATATTGGAAACTGGAACTGAATGTTTGCTACATGTAAATGGAAACAAACGAAGGTTCTTGTTGTAAACGTGAAATGATGTACACACATCTGCTGCGGTAAACTGGAATACGGAAATTCCTCTCTAACAGTGGGCAAAACAAAACGTTTACATTGCTTGATATGAGCTGAGTTTGGTCCACCTTCCGATAACCGCTTTCAAATTAATTTCCAATTTTCCTTGGCATGGTAAAAACAATATTGAGAGGTGATTATTGGATGTGAAAATCGTTCAGCTGATCACATTAATAATTGAATGGAACAGCCCATTTTGGGGCACCCAGCGTCTTTTAATATTTCAGTCTTCGCAGCGAAAGTCCAAAGCTTTGGTAAGATTATTCAGATAATGGCATAAACTTTAGGCTAACTGAGGCGATATTTTTTTCAGTCACAAATGTGGATCAAGAATGTTTCTTGAAAAAGATCTTCGAGAGGAGGAGCTACCGAAATTTGCTGGAATTAAGCGAAACTGCATTCCACACAGTGCAAAAAATATGGATAGGGAGCACGTCTCTCTCAAAGAAGAATTTAAGCACAATAAATCCCGCTTAAAACATTTAGTGATAAGAGCGTATCTAATATACACCTCAGCACTTCATGCCCAACAAGTGTTGACTTTTGCATCGAGTTATTTCTGGGTGACTGATATGTAGTACTAAGAATTGTCAGGGAAACCCAATTGAACATAATGCGATGGCTCTTTCCTGACAGTTGACTTCATTTTGTGGTTACGCCATGTTCTCAAAACCAGAACACGTAATTTTTTTATAATTTCCACAAAATTTCCCTTCCACCGTGCACTGTTCACTCCGGTATTTTTGATTCGAATTCTACATTCTTGTCCTCCAACTCATCCGGTCTCATTTTATTCTTTCGTCCCAGGTCCGATCGATAGCGGACTGTACGCAACAGTTCAACGACCAAACCTACTCACATTGTTGAANCAACAACAACAACAAGCACAAAGGCAATCGGCTCTCGGTCCTGCTGCTCCGGCCTATCAGGTGACAGATGATTCGATTATGTAGTTTTGTCCCATAATGAGGTCATATTTGAATAGTTCGCGTGATTAAGCCGATTATAAACCGGTTCAATTAAACATAACCGGTGGTCACGTGTTCTTCATTGAGCTTAGTCATGCCTTGTTGTTTCCATCTTTGTCTTCGCCACCAGCCCGCTCATGAAAGCCCGAAGCAGACAACTGAATTACTGTGCTCGCAACCAAGTGTAAAACATTTGAAATTCTGACAAATGTTTTAGGTCACATGTTTATTTTACTCAGCATATCTCAAGTTAACCTGAATGCCAGTACATTCATACAGACATGAGACTCGAAGTTTTCCACCAGCGTGTGACCCCTGGAATTTGATCTCGAAGTTTTTCGGTTAAGCTGATTAGCTCCCTCGGATTTAACAATTTTGAAATATCTTAATCCCTTAATTAGTGGGAAACGCATTGTTTTCAAGACAGTATCAACTAGTAAAACACGGCGTTGGCACAGAATGTAATCCATCGGTCACGTTTCTGTATAAGCAGGTAACCTGATAGCCGGAAGGGCAATATCATCAGATCGAAAAAACGCACTTACATCAAGATAAATGCTGACATGTTATTTGTCTATTTTGTTTTTCCTGCTACGGGATACGTGATCAGGCGAGCGCAACTTCGTGAATATTCTGACAGGTCTATTATTTTTATTCTCATTGAGTAATAAACTTAGAATGATACAATCACATTCAGTCGGCTACCACTCTGTTGAACGGATTAGGAAAATGATCAACAGCTCTTTGGTTATCTGCTCAGGACATTAGAGGGTCATCGCAGTTACATCTCTCTGAAACCGGGTTTCATAAACGCATTTGGTCTACACGTACTATATAAACCTGGGTGCATCGCAATATGCAGTATAAGATGTTTGTGTGCATAATTTATTCCGTAACTGGCAGCTTCGCTAGCTCCTAAAAGTATGCTAGTCGGGTAATCACTTTTGGCGGAGATTAATTGAGTACTTCAGTTAACGATTCATTGATTACTAATCCATCAAGAGCATGTATACCTTGAGGCCTAAGTCGATAGCAGACGTGTATGACAGAATAACTGAACTATTAGGTCATATCAAATCAGGTCATCAAGCCAAGTCAATCCCGTGTATGGGTGATAACTGTGATGATATCTGAGGACGACGATTTCTCACCTGGCAAGCGATCTTTCTGAATCAAACCATCGTGACATACGCAAAGCTGGTTCACAACTCAGTGGGGACATAAGCATCAAACCGTCGTTCTAGCCCTGAGTTTTGCAAGAGTCAGAGGTAAATGGTCAGAGGAAAGAGGCGTATATTGAATGGGATGCCGTTTTGCATTGTAATCCCAAGACTCAATGAATGAAGACGACTTATTCTCTGACAGAAGTCATATATAAGGTAACATCAAGCAGAGCATGTTGTGACTAAAGAAAACGGAGAGAGTTAAGCGTAATTGCAGCTGATAAAACCCAGCGAAGACCACTTTATATGTACATATACATATATATTGCACGTTATTACCAATAATGTTTGTAGCAGATCGCATTTGACACAAACGCCCTGAGCAAGCCTCCTAATCAAATGTTGGATGGAATACCATATACCTTGGAAAACGACTAGCTTTTATCTATAGAATCAGATAATTCATGATCGTACGCATATGTGCATCAAAGTCCGGAGGAAAGAACCAAGTTGTTTTCAAAATTCTCAAATAAAGCGTATTTATTGGAACTCCTTAATCGAAAACCAGATGAGTGTCTAACACTTAACCGTTTCATTCCATTGGTAACAACCTATTAGGAACTAATATCCACCGATCAGGGGTACGGGAATTAACGATTTGTAGTCAATGTATCCCGATAATCTGAATAGCAACTTTAAACGACCCCCGGAGTTGACAATACCGAAACATAAGAAGAAATCCACGGGCGTAATAGTTAGTATAACGAGAGGATCCGAACGGGGTACACACATTGTAATTGTTTGCAAATATGTAATGCGAACGTACTTCAGGCTCTCCTAGCGCAGCGGAGTTCACAGGAATGTATGACAGGATGTCCGTCGACTCGTGTTCTCGCAGTTGGAGACAATGGGCGTCTTTACGGGCGAGGGACGGTGGTAGAGAATCGGTGATAAAATTGCGAGGCGACCGAGATAAGGGGTTGCGAGGATCCACTGGTATACAACGTCCTCCGTGGGTCGAAGTTAAGTAAAGATAAACCTGCAAGGTGAAAAAATAAAACTGGTTCAGTAAAATAAGAGCACTAGTGATAAAACATTACTGGATCTGGTATAAACACACGACCCAGCTACGGCTGGCGTTTGTACAAACACAGAACACTGGATTGCATCAGAACCGACCTTGTCGGCGCAACGATTCGGGTTTAATGAGTTAGATGTGGTACATAAACCTAACGAGGTAAGGTATCATCAAGGATTTGTATGTATACATATGCTTACAGCAAGCATTCGTGGTGGATGATGGTACTCGTTTAGTGAAGTCAATATGCAGATTAGGTTTAGTTTGAAAGTCTTTTGCATGCTTAGATATTTTGTGAGGTAACTTCGTGAATTAGAGGTAAACTGCCGCAGGCAAAAACGTTCATGGGTCTGAAAACCAATATGAAGATTTGCGGATCAACTCAAGAAAAGGTCAGCACGTCGGCATGAATTGAAACAGGCAAAACACGTTCATGTACAAATATTTAGAATAAATTTAGCTTTAGGCAAACCACATAAAAGGAAAGTTTTCCAATTTTGGTAAACCCAACAGACATATGATCTGACTATGTGACGTTTCGGGCTGAGGTGGCAAAAACATACATGAAAGAAGGATATGGAGCCAGTGTTCCGTCATGTAAGGACACATGAGTGTGCGCTACACAGGTTTGACTCGATGAGACCCGATATTCAGAGAATTCCGGGAGAGAGGTTAGGCAATTCGAAAAATACTGGTTTGCAAAGCAAGAAAAGGGATCGTGGGGACAAAACAATCCGCAGCCTGTCATACGCGTATTTTGCCGTTAAAATATACGGAATATGCAAATAATTGGGATGAGCTCAAGAAAAATAGAAGAATTGAAGAATATCAGTAGAAAAACTTCAAAGAGTGGGTAAATTTCCCCAAAAGCGGACAAACTTTTAGAGATATGTAAAATAATATCGAAACAGTGAAATACTTCCATTTTGCCTGTTCGCCGAGCTTGGCAATTTGTTGGCAAACGTTTCATCACCAGCCGAGGTGACATCATCACAAGCACTGATGATGTCACCTCAGCTGGTGATGAAACGTTTGCCAACAAATTGCCAAGCTCGGCGAACAGGCGAAATGGAATTCAGTTCACTCGAGCTACGAGAACCGATTTTCAATATTTTGTCAACAGTGAAATACTATTTTGTTGGCAAGTAAACAACGGAAAGTGAGACACCCGAATTGCCAAGACTACTGTGATTCTGGACACCAACTTATACATTTATGTTGTCCAGAAAACTTAAATTAACAACCTTTTATTTCCAAACGAGTACATATGAAGCATAGTACATCAGTGAGGGAAAATCACCTAGGGTGGATCTCGCACAACAGAAGGAGAATTGGCACCGATCATCCACTTTGCAGTGCAGAAAACTAACTTTCGGATCATGTAAATGCGGTTAGAGTGGAAACTAGTGGACACAACTTATTGAAGCTTGCTTGGTATAACTGGAATGGCGCTTACTGTCCGCCACCGGTTCGGAATGTTTCGTTCAGTTAGACACTGGGGTTGTTTAAGTTCGAAATCAGAGAGGCCAGTGTCATAACCTATTTCATGGACAGCACAGGTTTGAAACTGTCGGGTCGGATTGTTGAGTGGAGTTTTTTATAGAGGGTAGTCCACTGATGACACTAATTTGCTCCATGCGATACTGAGGAATGTTCACATGCATAGTTTCATCAAGTTCAGTATTATTTTCTCTCGTAACATTCTGGCTCAAATTTGCAATGTCCGCATACTGTTTCCGAAAATTTCTGGCACCGCTCTACTGTTGTTTATTCATGTTCGAAGTTTCAAAACAGCTCTTGGGGGTTCCATAGTAGTTGTTTGGGAAAGGTGAGAATGTACAATCGGCAAGAATCTACGAAAGTTTCTGTGGTGGGTGTAAAAGTGGGCAAAGGGGAGGGGTAGAATACGTCACAAGTAAGTAATTCGATACATCAGGGTGTAAAAAACATGGAGAGATCAGTCACATCACTGACCATCGCACTTGCTCTCGTTTAGTCTCAGAAGGTGCTCCCGGTACATTCACTCCATCACAACTTTATAATCCCAGGTAAAAAGGAAACGCCAAAGGTTGAGGTTGAGGGTCGTGATCAGCTGATCTAAAGGATGGCCCGCAGAAAATAAAAAGGAGGTTGGGATCACTTTTGACAAAAATCCGCCGTAACTGGATATTTAAACCAATATTAGAGTCGAAAATGTTTGTGTTTTGGAACAGATTTTCAAAGCGATCAAGTTCACCTCCCAAACACAACAGTGGGAAGGATCGTGGAGTTGAACTGAGGACTAAGTGCAAATGAAGCAGACTTCTAGAGCCTAGTTTGGTTGACACGTTGGACGGTCGTAAATATCTCCCCTAAGGAATAAACATAATTACTGCAGAATTTAGGCCTATTTAAACCGACGAAGAGTTCATGTGAAGAGTGGATTGGTTAAGTGACACCTTTGTAGAGAATGACACGAACGTTGGTTGATGTAAGTGATGACTCCTTTTTGTGCACCAGTGACATGGAAACCGGGTTCGTTCTACAGAGCTGACAGCATGTTATTTGATAACTTCATCCTCGACATTAGCATACGACCAAGTCTCCCAAAGGGACAATCACTCCAAGTTGATAGCAGCACCCCACCCTCAACAAGGAAAAAAATCAGATACATCCAGCAAAGTTCCAAGCTCCAAGTAGCACTTATGATCTGATCAAAGGAAAGACCTTCGGTTGTGATCAGTCAGCCAATAATAAGGGATTAAAAGTTTTGATGACAAATTCCGGTGCAAGATCTACAGCTCAGTAATGTATGAAGCGGCCAAGTTAACCAGATACTATTCGTTTCGGTCTACTTCTCCACTAGTGCTTCTCAACCTAATTCTCTTAGCTTCACAGATCTATGAGCGATATTAGCACCGATCCGGCCTAAGGGAGTCCAGATACGGGTTGTCTGGAATCTTGATTAATGAGTCTCTTGCGTGAGTACGTTTGGGCTTACTCTCGCCCGTTTGCGTGTGATCGGACTTGGGTAGTATACGCATATTCTAGCCTCTTTGTGTATGTGATATCAGTTAATTGATACTCAATATACAACCTTTTTTCAAAATAATGATCTTTAGTGACGTTTCGACGCATTTAGCACACTCTTTTGGGTTGATGGTCAATAGGCTTTCTGTCTTGTCAACAAATGAATCATATACTGCACATATATTATCATCTTGCATTTATCCGTTTCAATCCAATCAGCTGGTAAGTACAGTTTGTCAAGATATTCCTGTGAAAATTTCATATCAATCACTTTTTATTCACGTATCTCCCTTGACAGTACGGTGCTCCTGGAACTAGTCTCCTGTCGGGGTTGAGTTCGGCCAATGCGCTCAGCAACTTGGCTCGTGCTCTGCTTCCGTCGGGTCCCCTTACAGTGCCTCCAGTTGACCCGTCAGCCATGACCAGCTCACTGGGACTACCCAAGTTACCTGCCTATCAGACCGGTTCGGGAGTTGCGGCACAACAACAGCAGCCACCACCACCGCCACCACCAACCTTACAGCTGACCCCACAGGGGCTAGCGTATGTCCCCCCAGCTCAACCTCCAAGTCGTCTGACAGTACCTACAAGCCTCGGTGAGTAAGATCTATTGCAAGGTTCACGATAAGAGTTTAGACCCTTTTCATCTGGATGGTGTTTTATAACTTTATTAAGAATGACGTGGTGAACACCACGTGTGTTGTGTTGTTTGTATTTACCTATATAAAACTGGCTGTAGTACGTGCTAAAGCTATAAGTAGAGCGGGCTTTTTCGGTGTAATTTAGTTAATTCCAAGTGCAGACAACGGATGTTTTACTCAAGCGAAACCAAAAGGAATTCTCTACCAGAAATGTATGAANTATGAAAATCGGCATACTATGGAACACGGAAATTTTACTGACAATTGTTGCTGAATAAAGTGCGTCAAAACTAGTTGGACAGCCTAACCCATGACTACGACATGACAATCATCCGATCCGTGTTTTGCCTTTCATTACCTTTTGAAGATTTGCCAAGCCCGGTTCGGAGATCATCTGTGAATGCCTGTCTAATTCCAGCTTATTGACAGGTATCTGAGGCATCTACATGCAGTTAAGCTGGATAAGAAGAAGCAGCTTGTCATTTTTGCTTTTGTGATCCTAGGTGAAACGCTTATGGGAATGTGCGAAACGGCAGATCATCGTTTCCTAATGACTGCCAATTCTCGAAAACTAGTCAAAAAAAGTTGGCGCTCGAGTATTTCGGTAGCAAAATGGACGCCGAATTTTCCAACTCGTATCTCCAGCAAACAATCAGTAACATGACAATTAAAATTAGGCTGGGATTAGCAATTTCAACAGGAACTATACCACTGACCCAACGAAACATTCTTTACTGTAGTGTGCGAATACTTGGCAGGTGGTAGCGTACAATCTTGCCTCTACGATGGGGACTGAAACCCATGTTTAAGGGAAACATTAATAGAATAAAATTATATAAGTAGCAAGGAAAATTTCAAGCTGAAAGGATCGGATAATTTACATTATCATTGGTATGTCACCATGACGAAATCTGTCGTATTTCAAGGTAGCTTTCATGACAGATCATACATATATACATGTTCTCCCCAGAGAACGTCTGATCTGCCTTATTCCTTATCACGGCTGGAACATACGGTTAATGAAGATAGGCTATTTGGCTTCTGATATGAAAGTGGATAGATTTGCTGGTCAACCGATTTCATGAGTGATGCACCTTCTTTTTTAGTCTACATAACCATTTCAAACTGTGACAGACAAACCGGTTTGACTGCAGATGAATCCTAACATGAGGACAGCACGTATCACAGAAAAGTTAGGACAGTTTGTAAAGTTTTAACAGAAAATTGATACATCGAAATCGAAAAATAGTTTCAAGTCCTAAAAGGCAACCATTGACTCTAATTTGATCAACTTGCGCTGATGTTGGTGCCGTGTACTTATCCCATATATATTGTTGTAAGAAAAGATTTGTGGTCCGCATTTTCCGTATACCGTGGCCGGAATTTTAACAAGCTAATAATCAGAATTTGCTAATGGTGCAAATTCGAAGCTTCCAAGCGAAAAAGTCTCATTAGTGCAAATGTGGTCTGAAGGGGTATCATCCTTAATGGAAAAGCTAACCATGTTCTGAAGAGACATAATTTTGCAAAAACAAAACAGCAGCAATAAAAACAGATGTGCCAGTCTTTTGCAACATAATTGGATGAAATGTACATAGGATAGTAGATAGCTCACCAGGATTACAGTTAGGAGTTATGTAAAGATTTAAAATGATGGCGGACGAACGGCGCAGGGAAAAAGGTGATTTACATGCCAAAGTCAATCAAGGAACTTTTTGTGCACAGTGAGTGAATATGCATTTGGCGGGGATCAACCACGACTGATGCGTGCCTGTGATGACACTGCCACCTTCTGTTTTGCTTTCCTGAAGTCTATCTGCACAACACAAATGGAAGCTTACAAGTTCAACCACCTGTTCGTCAATCAATTTGTGTAGCCATGATTCTTGGAATCAGGAGAGAATTAAGAAGACAGTCGACGACGCGATGATATGGAAAACATTTAAGCAGTCCCACGGAGCACACAATGACAACACAAATTGGCAAATAAGCTTGGTTTCAGTGTGTCTTGATCGTGCCATTACAACACAATATATTATATGATAGAGATTTACAGGGGAAAAAGGAAAGTAATTAGAGTATTCAACAATGTGTCTCACAATTGATCCCCAATTATCACTTGCTCAGATGTTTCATGACGGGTGACTTGTTGGCATTCCGGCCATGGGAGATTGAGTGCTGGCTTTCTTAGAAATGATTATATCCGTCATTGTGTGGTTGCCACGACCGTACAACTAACAAAAATACTGAGAGAGAATGACATTGCTGGTGGGACTCTCAACGAGGTGAAGAATCTGAGCACTGTTCTATCAAATACCCATAACTATGCTCACCATACGATCGAAGATATCCGTTACGCCTAAGCCTTTAGCCGAGGTTGTAATGAGCCGCCCATGGAGAAGATACTGGACTAATTAGTGAAGCGCTTGTTTGACTGGTGTATCGATTACTTTTCGTGCCTATACTGTACATTCTTTGCGTCGTTATCGCCATCAGTACTGAGCAGTCCCGTTGTTCATAATCATCATTCCAGTGGTGGTATACTTAACTGGTGAGTACTAATTTAAACTTTTAGGAATTAAAATTTAGGTCAGTTTAGGAGTATAGAAAGAGTTTGTGAGCGCGTATGGAGTCCTCATAACAGTTTGTCAAAATGTAACTTTTCCACTCTCTAAGTGTTATATGACTGCTTTCTGATTGATCATTCCCCCATTCCTGAAAATTGTATCACTATGTATTCAATAAAGGGAAGTAAAATAAAAGTTTAACAACACAAGACTAAGAAAGATTTACAGGAATGTGGGCCTCATAACGGCCGTAATATACATATCAATGATAAAATAAGTATGATGCCGGTATTTCGTGAATCCCTCCCCAACCGCCAGGATTTCTTGAAAGTAACTTTAGAAGCAGGTCAAGGATCAATAACCCGGTAGATAATAAGTTAGCTGTTGATCATGCACAGAAAATGGTAACATGCCGACTAAATTGTGAGAATACACATCGAAAACGGAAAGCCGAATGCATTCAGATAAACAATAGATAAGGGGATTTGGAAATTTCACACTAAAGACCAAATGAAGTAGATTTTTTCAACTTAAACTTAATCAAGGTTGATTATGAAAATTTTAACAATGAAATAAGTAAGCAGCGGTACAATTTCACTCTAAGCGATGAATAGGAACTGTCGATTGCGTGGAGAGCTCCTTATTTTTTCGTTGTCTTTTTGGCAAGATTCAACGTCCCACAGTACACGTCAGTTTCACATCAACTTATTTTTATTTAGACTAACTCACTCTCACTTTAAGGGATATTTTGTGTGAACCTGAGTGTCGCTTCCTGTCATGTAGATCGTATTCATTCAGGTCTTGCTTTGAATTTCAATATTATACTAACCAAAACACATGGTGTAATTGACTAAAGCTGAATAACAACCATGAATCTCGGTACTAAACATTTACTTAAATTCTGTAATCACGACACATAATTATAGTAATAATAACAAATAGAATGAATTAGAACGGAATTAACATTCTGCTTTTGATAGTTACATATGAGTAGAGGTAGCTTTAGTTATTACAATTTGGTCCATCATAAAAGCATCAAACTCTTGTACACATCACTGAAAGGCCCCGGAACTAGCTGTACACGACCAGAATTTGTACAATGACTGTATGCTCAAAATGGGACACCAATACATGCATCGAAGTGTCTACCTTTGTCCACCTAGTGGCAGTCAGTATTCAAAGGAAGATGTAGAATTAGTGCTTTTGTTGACACCCAGTCCATTTCCAGATTGACCCCGAGTAGCATGTCGGCAGGGCGTGGCATTCATAACCCCG